GATCTCTGCATTGAATCTGGGGGATTTTTTTAGAGTAGGAAAAACTGTTAATGGGAGAGAAGAAGGTTAATTGCCACCAGAATCATAGAAATAATTTATATTGTCAGTAAAAGAGAGAGCTTTCCTTCTGCCCATAATAAAATTTTGATGGCAAATGTATTGATTGGTCTTAAATGTTATTGTTATATGTCTCACAAAATAATTAGGGAAAAGCTAAATATGTTTTGACTTTTTCTGTTTTAGTTTTTTATCTAGTTCAGATAAATAAATAATTTTATACACAGGTGTCTTCCCAGTGTTTCCTGTAAAATATGACCAGGAGAAAGAATCTACTATGATGATACAATTCATTGCACATTAGAAGTGTAAATACTCGGTACTATTAAGTTCTCTGAGTAAAAGTATGTAGTGCCTTTGGATAGAATAATGCTTTATTTTATCTTACTTATTGCTCCTATCTAATTTAGAACTGGATCATTTTAGTACTGGATCATCTTTTCACATCACCTGATGGTTTACTCTGAAGGAAAGGCCCATGACTGCCTGGCTATTGGGTTGTCCTGGAGGCTAGAGGTACATTTTTCCTGCAGCTGTCCTGTTTATGTAGATCTGTATTACCTGAAGTACTTTACAAATGCATTCAAGAGCATATTTAAAATCAGAGTAAATACAAGCCATTTATGGGACAGTATGTATGAACTGTGACTGAACTACCTGTCCAGAGGCCAAAGGATTTCCCCTTTTTCTGTGTGCAGGGGTACTCTTTGAAATCTGAAGATTATAATTAGTATTAATATAAACTTTTCCAAATGACTGATGTCTTCTGCATTTACATCACTTCAGTATCTGAGCACGTGTGTCTCTTAAATATTTTAAGTATCGTAGGAGCCCAGAGGGTAGGTCAATGCTCCCATCTGTCTTGCAGGATGTAAAATGACATTCTGAAGGTGATGCAAATATCACAGCAGAGTGTACCCAGAAATGGAGCTCATTGCCATGGATTTCAGTCAGTTTTCCCTAGAAAAAGTCTCTCCATTCTTAATTTGTCTGATATAACTCAATTTAGGGTATTAAGATTGTGATTATTCAGGGTCAAGCCTGGAGTGGTCCATGTATAGAAAGTGTAAAAATAGAGACTTGTTCTTCTAAACTAAGCAATCCACTTTCACAGAACTCCTAACTGGAAGTTACAAATCCCTGGCTGTGCTACTCCGCCACAGGGCACTGCACCTCACCAAGTAGCTCTGCACAGGACCTGGTGACTTGTGCTTCACAAAAACCACTTCTGCCAGAGAGGATCCAGCCTTGATCTGAAGTATTATCAAGAGATTGATAATCCACTGCTGTCTGTGGCTTGTCTGTTTGCATCTCACATTAATTCACCAAATGCCTGTCTCTGCTTCCTGAGTCCTCCCCACCATTCCCAGTACAGGTTGTTGTGTGCAGGCAGACCACCCCTCAGACTTCAGGGCTGACAGTCAAAACAGAGTTGCCGAAATCAGAGCTGTTGCCTCCAGTGTCTTGAGCACTGCTTTGGCTCTTTCTTTTGCACCTCCAGGTTTCCACAATGTAATTTTAAAAATCTAGAGGCCAGAACTGAGCTTGGGATTCCATTTTTGCTCACACTGGTTTTTTCTGAAAGGATGAGAAATACTGGAGGAGTGTACTGTCCCTCCTTGCCATACTTGCTAATTCAGGCTTGCTTCTGGAGCCTCCTTCCAGGTCCAGGCTTGTGGGACTTGGAATGTAGGCTTTAGTTTCAGAGATATGACCATTATTTGTAATACAGCCACTTTCAGTTTTACATTTGACATTTTTATATTGTGCTTTTTTTTTTCCCCTCTACTTTCCCCCCTCCACCTCACCAGTGGAGAAACATGTTTTAGTTTGTTGTTCTTTTCAAACAGCCTCAGGCTGCACTGATTTAGATCTCTCTCTATATTCATGCTGTCCTCATTCATAGTTCCACTAGTCTAAGTTACCAGCTTCAAATTCTGAAATGTTTATTTCCAACACTGAGGATTTACAGTTTGAAATATCACTCTAAAGAATATGATTTGATGGTATTTTCCTATTTACAAGTATTTTGAAGACCTGACAGATAGCCAAAACATTAGTCCTATACTTTACTGCATATCATAGCTGAGTGTGTAATTTAGGACACTGAAGAGAAAACGTGGTGGAGTTGGGTGAGATGAAAAGGAAGTAATTGTTATGTTCAGGCTATTTACATGTGTGGTTTGTTCCATTCTGTTTCTAAGTATGTACTGAACGTGACGTTCATTGTGTCTGAAATAGTAGCAGAATAACCTAGGGGTTGCTAAGGTAATGAGAACCCACTGTTCCCTTACCAATTCCTGTAAATAAAGTATGGAATTTAATTTCACTCTGTGTTACCTGAGGCAGCTCTGGCATCTGATAAAACAAATGGTCTTCACATTTGTCTCCACTTCCTTTTTGATTGTCATTGAAATACTGAGATGTTTCTCGTTTTGCAAATAAGTGAGGCTGCCCTGCAGATGGTGGAGTAGAAAGTGGCCTAAGAATTACATCTTTTGTCTTGCAGCTGTTTTCCCTCTGTGACTTAAAATGTATTTGTCTTCCTGCTGAAACACTTCTATTGCATGTGATCAGGGCTGAAGATCTGACAGCCATAAGAGTTCCTCTTTGTTTTTCTCTTGATGTAGAACTTACATGTTTGTTATCTGTGCTTGTGCTGTGCAAGCACAGCATGATTGTGAATCCAAAATTTATTTCTTCATCAAAGAAAGGAAGGTTGTCTCAAAAAACATTATGGTAAACCCAGAAATTTGCAAATGCTGGACACCAGTAGATGGTGAGATACTTACCTGGTGAAAAGATGTTTGGCAAGGATTATCACTGGCCTTGGGAGTGCGGGCCGCAAACAAAACATTCAAAGGAGCTCTGACTGCTGTGAAACCAGGCACACTACACCCCAGACCGTCTTGATTTTGTAATGGAAAAAGAGAATCCATATCAAGCCCCTCGGCAGTTAATCAATCATCCGAGTCCACCAGGCTGGGCACGGAAGATTGAATCTCTTATGTACATGAAGAGGAAGAAGAAACAGCTGGGGCATGGGATGGAGTTATGCTTAGAGTGGGAGAATCTGCTGTAAGAGAGAGGCAGCTTGTTATGCTGCATTATGGGATGGCAGAACAATAGTCCTGCTTTTTTATGCCACAGATTTTTGTCTTGCTTGTGTTACATTGATATTAAGTTATAGGTCACTTGCTACAAGTTACCACAAGTTGATTATTTTAACCTAATAGCTGTCTGGGTATCAAGACTTTGTATTCTAATAGTCTGCCCAGAAAAGTAGATCTGGGAGGTGAAGTGGACAGCTGGCATAATATATGGACACTTGAACCTGGAAATGAAAGACAGCTGCTAGGTCTAATTTTAAACATAGCTCTTGATCAGATCCGTCTAGATCTGCTTGTCCTGCCACAGCAAAGTCATTAGTGGGAGTGGAGAGACAAGAAGCTGAAAATACTGGTAAAGAGCTTTTGTGAGGAAGGGAATCACCCTTTTTCCAGTTATGGTATTTCCATTTTTCACAGTAAGTACTGTCAGCTTCCAGAGAAGGGGAATGGAAATGGTTTGTGGCTGGTACATGGTCTAACTCCGCTGACATGGGCAGCTCTTCTGGGGCCTCGTAATGGGCAGTGGGACTCCCTGTTCTGCAAGTACGAGGGCAGGCAGCGCTATTTCAAACGAGGAAAATGTAACAGAATTGGGATTTTTCCTATCATTTTAAAACTGCACGTGGTTACATAGCAGCAGGTTGTAATTCCGAGTTTTTACATCAGGGCTCGGGAATGCGGCGGCGTTAGCAGCGGTCTGGAGCTCCATCTAGCGGGGCAGAGCAAATCCCGCTGGCTGGCTTTGGGTTTTTTAGCAAGTACAAAAATAACCACGAATAATATCGTACTGATAGGATTCTTCACTTGGGATTAACGAGTTAGACACATTATTAATTCAGCAGCTGGTTAAGTGTTTTCAAGTTTCTGTTTTGCTTTCAGAATGCCATTACCAAGCTGGGTTGGCTTTGGGGGTTTTTTCAAGTGTGACGGTATTGTTCAGCTTTATTACAGCTATGGTACTAAAATTAGGGGCTATGGAAACATTTCTGGTACTCGTTCTCTTTAGGGAGTTGTCTAATCTCTGGGAATTTTGGAAGCAAGCAGAACATTGCTCCTCTGATGTGAAGATTCTCCTCTATTAGACTGCTCTGTTAATCACAATAGGTTTAGGAATAACAGCTTTGTTATCTGCTTTTAAAAAGTGAAACATCCAATTTTTTAAAATATATGCCTTTTTAATATATATAACGATAAACTTGAAGAAGTAAGAATAAAGAATAAATTTTGTTTGTTTTATTAAAGAACTTTAAACTACAACTTGACTTTACACTTACCAAGCTTGGTTAGGATAGAAACGTTACGAAAACATAATTGTATTATTCTAAAGGCATTCTGCTTAAACTGGTGTTAATCTCCAGTACAGAGAGTCTAAATAATTAATGATCACATTCAAATACAAGTGCAGCATGCATTTATCTTTTTTTCCTAAGAAAAGTAGATAAACCAGGTATTTATTATATTTTTACATATAAAAATTTTGATGTAAAGCATTGTAAATAGCGTGATAAGAGCTGTCAGAGGCAGTTGGAGCTGGAGTTGTGGGACAGAGGCCATAAATGGCCAAATGAGGTCACATTTCATTTAAGCATGCTTCCTAATTTGCTTCAACAGTATTAGCCTAACTAGTATTAGTTTTGTGTTTTATTTAAACTTTCAGCTTTCCTGCCTCCTGCACAACCGAATGCTGCTCCTGTTGATTTGACTCAAAGGCTTGAGAGTGACAGCTGCCAGGGAGGGCTTATTTCAAATCTTCTATCCCATGTTTGCCTGTGTATCCTTTCTAAACATGCATTTTTGTCTGTACCTCCCATCTAAAGCTCTTCTTGTCAACAGGCAAGCTCAGAGATACCAAAATTGCGAAAGGACGAGCAAAAAGCACGAAACGCGCTCTTGGCCGATATCCAGCAGGGAACTCGCCTAAGGAAAGTGACCCAAATCAACGACCGCAGTGCGCCACAGATTGAAAGTGAGCATGGGCTCCTCAGCAAGGCCCTGGGGGAGCTTTGCTGAAGCTTCAGGTTTGGCTATGGGTGGAGGTCAGGTGGACAGTTTCAAATGGAAGGGCAGGTTTGAAGGTCAGCAAAGGTCTGCATCATCCTATGGCTTTAGGATGCAGAGAGGGGACACTTTCTAAACGTGCATGCTGCTCTGAGATCAATGACTTTTAAGTTTCCAACTGATTATCACCTTAACAGGCATTCCCTGTTCCAAAATAAATAACGAATTATTAAATCCTTAAGAGCATTTCAATAAGATAATTAGATGGGAATTGTTGGCTGTAGCAGAAGAATTGTTCTTTATTAGATTAAAAGAACAAAAAAAAACCACTGAAAAATTCTGGACACGTAAATTCAGTATTAGGCTTAACACAGCTACTTCTTGGTGTCATGATTTGCATGAGGTTGAAGAGCACCAGAGGGTGCTGTGCTCCAAGGTACAGGTCAGAGAGGGACAGCAGTTCCTGTATAACAGCACAGGGAAAGTTTAGCCTTGGCTTCTATTGCCACCAGGCCATAGCAGTCTCAGGACAAGGATGAAACGATTTTGTGATATATCCTGCATTTTTCGTTCTTTTTAACAGAACCCAAAGGAGCTAACAGAGATGGAGGTAACCCAGCTGTTAATAAAGGTGGCTCTCAGCAGCCTCTGGGAGGTTTATTTGCTGGTGGCTTTCCTGTTCTCAGACCAGCAGGCCAGAGGGACATGACAGGTAAGGGCTTCATTTGTATGAAAGCAGAGCTGGGTGGGCAGAAATTTGGGATGAAAAGTAATTTGGGATTAGCTTTACAGATTGATTTCTATTGGGGTTTTCTTGTGAATGCTTAGTTCATCCTGTGACCAGGGAGGGCTCAACTAATAATGTGATTGAAGCCACCTTTCTAGATCTCAGGTGCCTTATTTCTTACAACATAAATAAAAAGCTATCTCCACACTTGGTAAGAAAGAGATTAAAAAGATCTCTGTAGCTGGTGTTTTTACATTATTTTAATGAAAGCTTTTAATTGTGTCTTGAATATAGTATTGAAATCTGAGCTTATCAATTTCAGAACAAATGGCAAAGTCATATTCCTTCCCTCCACTAGTGTGTATTTCTATGGTATTACAGTCCTTTGTATGACTTTAAAGCTTCATGTTTAAGATTTTTGCCCTCTGGATTTTACAGAGTATAGCTTTGATCCAACAAGGTAATTTACTGATCCAAAAAATAAAGGTATTGTTGCTTCAGAATGATAGGAGGAAGGCACATGGGTAGCCCCAGTGCTGCTTTCACCTCAAGAAGTGCCAGTATCAATGAGAAATTACTTTTATAGTCACAGTAATGACCTCTGGCACTGCTGAGCAGCTGGTGCCGGCTCAGGAGCACAGAGCAAAGTAGATTTTTGTAGAGAAAGACAGAACTTGGCTCTTTCTGAACGTTTTTTGCTCCCAAAAGGCAAGCCAAAGATGCACAGTACTGTGTGTGGTGGGGCTTTTGACATAGCTTCAGTGGCAGTAACTACTTTGAGTTGTTCTTAAAACTGTGGCCATGCCGATCAGACTATGTGAGTGTCGAATGAGCTGCCTTTTTTGACATCTTGCTTTGTGATAAATCCTTGACATTTACTCGAGAAAAGACATTTTTTAAGTTCAAGAGTCTTCAGGCATTTGCTGTGAAAAAGGAAATACCAGAACCTCTGCCTTCCGGAAAGCCTTTAAGGCATTGCTTTTAAAGACTTGGCTTTTATCCGTGGAGCTGAGGTTTCTGTAACATTTGCGTGAATTTTTTGATCCTAAGCAAGTACTTAACTTGAAGGATGCCAGTTGATGTGTGTCAGACTGCTCGTGTACTTTCCACCGGGAGTCTTAATACCCAGCGGGCTGTACCAGGCAAGATGAGGCTGGTGTGAAGGGCCCCAGGCTCTGCAGAAAAGTTCCTTCTTCTGAAACTGTTTCATTCTGCAGAAGCTGAGGAGCAGGGAGGGGAGCAAGGTCTCCCAGCCGGTCGTCATATAACGAAGCAGAATCCCTGGTGCCCACTGGAATGCATCACCTCCTAAGTCTCATTGCAGCGTGGGCAGCCGGGGTGAATGAGTTTGATCCCTCCGGGTATCCACTGGGGAGGGGAAGATGAAGAGCTTGCCTTTATCGCTGTTCGGTGTGAGGAGTGGGAAGGCAGTCCCAGTGTGTAACATGTGATACCTGGTTTCCAGCAGGGAAGCTCTCCGGAGGCCGAGCAGCATCGCCCAGACCCTCTGCACCGCTGAGCAGCGGCGCTGCCAAGGCGAGCAGCGCCCCATCG